TTTTCCCACTTCCTCTGAAGATCTGACTTGTCCTGCTTGGGAAGCAGCTTTGTGCTAAGCTGCCTTTTGGGATTTGTAGAGTTGGGTGGTTGCAGAAAGGAAAACTGAGCTGCGAAAAGGTCCTTGACGGTGCTGCTGCTCTTTTTCCAGCAAGAAAGGTACGCTTTTCTTTATTGTATTATTTTTAGGGCTAGGTCTGTAAGGAAGAGCTCCTATGGGGGTTGCATTTCTCTCTGTGCTTGGGCTTAACGTGGTAGCAAGCTTTATCCTGGGTGAAGCTGCCTGTGTTTATGGAAGCCTTTCTGCTGCTGTGGGCTTCCCTGATGATGCAGAACCTTTTTGCATGTGTGCTCAGCCCTCTGCAATGCGTCTTGCTCCCCGAGCACCGTCGGAGGTGAGCAGCCATGGGTGTACGGCATGGCTGTGTGCCAGCACCACCACCAGCTTCTTGTTTTTCTTCCTTCCTCCTACTTGCCACCACTGATACGGAGATAATGGATATAAAAGAGCTTCTGGCTATGGCTCAGTGGTTTTTATGGCTGTGCTGGAGAAGAGCCCGTTACCCTGGGAAGGGTTGTGCAGGCTGGTTTGCTTCTTTGCAATTCCAACCTTGGGGCTTCCTTGGGGTGCTGGCTCACGTCTGTGGCCCTTGGTAGGGCTGGGTATGGCTTATCCTGTGGCCCTGTTGGATTATTTTTTTTTTGATTGCACGAGGAGTTATGTGTGTGTGGTTGCAGCCTGGAGAAATACTGGGCTGGGAATGCACTGAGTGGTTGTCAGTGGTCCTCGGGTGGTCCTCGGCTCGGGCACCACTCCTGAGCGGCGCCGAGTGTTTTTGCACCATCAACTCGGTGCTTCAGAGGGAGGTGGGGATGCTGGGGTGGCCCATGGTATTTATTTGTGTTGAGGCACTCGCATTGCTCATCTATGCAGCCGGCGAGGTGCTAAGGCTGGGCGTGCAGCCATCGGCGATGCCGTGTGCGGCAGATCGGTAGTGGCTCGTGTCTGCGGGTGCTTGGCGCTGGGGAGCATCAAGTATTGGGGAGGTGAAAAGGAGTGGAAACAGGCTCCTGTGTCCTGCCGACCCATCTTTTGGGGGAGAGAGGGCCGTCGTCCTCCTCCTCTTGGCTGCTGTGGGCTGGGAGGTGGGTCTCAGAAGGGCTTTGCTCTGGTTTGGGAGCTCTTGGCCCAAAATCTCCTGCCTACAGGCACTTGTTGTAAGGCCAGGCACCCCCCTAAAAGGATTATCATGTACCTGGCAGCCCAGTTCAGAGACTTCAGAGCCCTTCCAGCAGAGCCTGGCCGTGCCGCACGATGCTGCAGCCTTGTCTTTTCTTGGCTCCTTCCCCAGTCATCCAAAAAAACCCAACAGAATAATTGAATTCACGTGGTTGCCATGGGAACGGGAATTGGCTGCTCATCCTGATTTTTGTGGCAAACTCCGGGAGGCTTTTTTTTTGTTGTTGTTGTTTTTAATAGCAGGACACGAGGTGTCCCAGGTTGTGAAAGCCGGTTGACTCAGCATGCTTTGAACTGGCCCTCAGGATGTTCAGCTCTAAACATCCTGTCTGAGGGCCACCTCCCCACGGTGGCTTCTCCCTTTATCTGCCTCTTCTGAGTAATAACCGCTCCTTGCTGCCACATCTGGAGCTGGGAGACAGACAGGCAGGAGTCTCAGGTAAACTCTCCTACCCACAGAGAGAAATATGTTGGGTGTGCCATGGGATGGACGTCTCTGCTTGAGCTGGGGAAGAAGGGATGTGGGGAGAGCCCATCTCCGCAAGGCAAAGGTTCAGTGTGATGACGGCCAGCGATCTGTGCCTTTAGCTCTGTTTTGGGTGGGCTTATGGTCCTTTGGAGCTGCATCGTGGCAGAGGATTGGCAGGCAAGGGAGATGGTGCCTCGTCTGTTGGGTGAGGGCTGTTGGCACAAGAGGTGTGCTTGGGTAGCAAGGATGGAGGAGGATCCACAAAGAGAAGACCCTCCAAATGTCCACGGCCAGGGTGCTGAGCTTGCCCTCTGCCTATAGGGTGTCCTGGGATGCTGCCTGCCGCCTGGTTGCACCCATGGGTGCTCATAGGGGATACTCATGCATCCACATGGACAGCAGCGATCCCCCGGCAGCATCGATCCCCCCCGCATCAGGGGGAACAAGTCCCCACATGGAGATGAAATCATCGATGGTGACGGACTCGGGGCTGTGATGGCTCAGGGGGGAGAGCCTGGAAATTGGGCAGAAAGGCTGTCCTTCCCGAGGCCGGGGAGGCTGCGAGCAGTCAGTGCGAGGCACCGTAAGGAGAGCAGGCAGCTCCCGTATGGCTATTAAGCAAAAGCATCGCAGCCTGGAAGCTGCGGAGGGAGAAGGGCGGCTCAGGTAATAACTTCTGACTGCAGCCATATTTCAAGTCCTCTGACAGACAAACTAGCTTGCAGGAAAAATAAATAACCCGGGTGCCTCTCCTCAACCGGTGCTCTCTTCCCTGTCTGCAGCTCACTTGGAGCTTAATCAGCTTTTATGTGAGCGTGGACTCAAACGCCGGGGCTGGGGGAAGCCGGCGGGCGAGAGGTATCGGGTCTGGGCTTGGTTGAGGGGCTGTGTTGATGGTGAGGGGGTTGTTTTGCTGTACCTCGAATACGTGAGCTGTGCAAGTGGACTTGTTGCTTGGAAACACGGCTGGTTTCTCTGCAAAATAGTGGCTGTTTTTTATAAAAGAATTTGGGGGATTTTTTTGTGCGTGGGCTACATCCAAGCTTCTGCTTGACCGAAGGGTGGGTTTGGGACATCCCTGCAAAGTGAGGGGTGCCCCAGGATACGTGGTGGCTGCTGAAGAGCTGCATCTGGGTGATGGGAAGCAAAGGGGACGTTGGTGACAATGACCAAAAGCTTTGCTGAATTGGGCTGCTGAGGGGTTACAAAGCAAAGGAGTCCCCCAGCACCAAAAAGAAGAGCAAGGCTACTCTGCCGAGGAGAGGGATGGTTGGGGTAGGAGATCCCAGGGACAGCTCTGAAACAGAGTGGTTTGGGAGCTGCTGGTAATTCAGGCAAAGGGGGAATGCCTGGTGGATGCAGGGTGATAAATCCCTGGGTGGGATTGATAAATCCCTGGGCGAGATTTACCCGCTGGTGCGGCTCAGAGCAGCCTCTGGAGTTGCAGGTGGGATTTGTTGGTTGTCCTTGCTGATGCCTGGCCACTGGGATGTCTCTGCTCCACCCCTCTCCTCTAATTAAGCATGTCAAATTAACGCTCCTGCTACGTATCTCGATCAGGGTACGCTCCTGACTCCAGGTTCAGGCTGATGGCCTCGTAGGCACAGTCCCTGTGACAGTTTCCCTGTAGGACAGTGGTAAAATTTGGTTGTATATTGCGCAATTGCGTGCTGCTTAAAGGCTCTTTAATAGCGTCTGTTTGTAGGCACTTCAGCACGTGGATGTCTGTGCAAGGAAGATATGTGCCCTGGACTGGGTGTTCAGGCTATAACGAGGAAAGCCATGGGTCTTCCAGGGGCATGAGCCATCTCACCCCAATGTAGGCGTCCAAAATAGAGCAGAAAGCCATCACCGGTCCCCGAACCAGCTCCTGGGACAGGGCGTTTCTCATCTGCCTGCAAGGCTGCTTAGTAATTTCCCTCCTGAAAGGAAACCTTAACACGCTGTAAATAGGTTTGAGCCTTCCCTGGCTTACCTGTGTTCTGGGGATGCAATGGGTGATGATCGTCTCCAAACCCAAGCGCCGTGCTTGCCCACGCAGGGCTGAGCCAGTTCGACTGACGGCTCCAGCTCTGCAGCCAAAACTTGACCGGGGACGTCTCGCAGAGCTCTCCCTCACCTCAGGCACTTGCCACGCCACTTCCTCCCCTTATTTTGCAGAGTCTAATTACTTTCTAGTGTGGGAGGACTAGGAGAACGTGCTGGAGTTGTTCCTCCAGCCTCTGCAATTCGCTTTGGTATTTATAAACACAGCGCGGATGTGATGGGCGATGCAAGGGCAAGTTGGTGCGGTAGCTTCAGGATGAGCAATGCCTTCTTCAGCATGCATCTGAGCGGTAGAAAAGGACCAGAAAGGCCGTGAGGAGGGAAAAAGTGAGACCTCCGAGGTGATAGAGGCATACAGAGAGCCAGGAGAGAGGTCTTGCTGGAGGAAACCAGACCGTCCCAAGGTAACATCAAAAGCTCACTGCTATAAGCATTGAGATCAGCGCTTATTCCCTTCTCTGCTCGCTTTGTTGGAACAGTTTCAGTATGAGCTTAAATACTTTGCGGGATATAACTTTGCCCACGGCAGCCGGTCGTGCTGCCGTACCTCTGCTCCTCTCCATTCTTGCTAGTGCTCGGTGGCATTGCTCCGTCTCAGCACGAAGGTGATTTTTTCATGCCTTTAGTCTTCAAGCTTTTCCTGCTGGAGATGAAATCTCT